ACATTAAAAGATGAAAATAAGAACCAAGAAAATAAAAACAGAAAACCCGAAATAAGAAGATTGTTGACACCCCTCGTATTACTTTTAATTTAAAATGATAATTTCACTCCCTAGCCAACTACAATAACTGTGCCCCATTCATGATGACAAGCACTCCGATTGCTGTGGGGCAGCAGCAGCATCTAGCAAAGTAGCAAGCAAAGCATGCGCTCTCCGTCCTTTACCAAGTACATATCTGAAAATAGCGCAACTTATTCACGGATGGTGTTTTATTATAGTGGCGAAAAAATAATAATGTATATGCATCCTAATGCGATTTTTCCTCTTCCTAACATTTTAACAATTTAACTCACTAGTCCTTTCATTAAAAAATAAATAAAAATAAATAAAAAATAAAAAGCTCAACTTATCAACTTGTCCTCTTTTCTAATTTATAAATGTGTATTTATTATCTGTTGAGCAAAAATTGTATATAATATGTAAAAAAATAATTCACTTGACATAATTTCATCCTCATTCATTTTTCTGAAGAGGATTTTATTAATTTAAGTTTGACCTATTCTAGACTATTCGTCTATTAATTAAAATCCTTCGTTAAAAGGAAAAACCCTTTGATTCCAATATGAATAAATAGTAACTTGGGGATTTGGGGGTTTATTTGATTTTGCGACTGCACCTAGGTCAAGCCCTAGATTGCCTACGTACCCTCATTGAGGGATCAGGTCACTCGTAGTTCCTTGGTATTTTGTATTTGTTTGGATTTGATGCCTTGTGCAGTTTTAGCTCGTGCGGGCGAGGACTTTGAGCCATTTGAGCAGTTGATGCCTCATGCAGTTTCAACTCGTGCAGGCAAGGGATTTGTGCCACTTGGAGGGTTTGATGCCTTGTGCAATTTTAGCTCGTGCGGGAGAGGACTTTGAGCCATTAGAGCATTTGATGCTTTGTGCAGTTTTAGCTCATGCAGGCGAAGACTTTTAGCCATTAGAGCATTTGATGCCTTGTGCAGTTTTAACTCATGCGAGCGAGGACCTTGAGCCATTGGATGCCTTGTGCAGTTTTAGCTCATGCAGGCGAAGACTTTGAGCCATTGGAGTAGAACGCGGCTTCGTGCCATTTGAGTCTTGTTGCGGCTTCGTGCCATTTGAAGCGGCTTTATGCCATTTAAGTCTTGTCGCGGCTTCATGTCATTTGTATTGGCTTTGTTCTATTTGTAACGACTTTGTGCCATTTAGTATTTGATACGGTTTCGTGTCATTTGATATTTGATACGGTTTCGTGCCATTGGCCACTTCGGAAATTTGATCTATTAAATTTGACATAGTGTAAGTCCATTGAGTTTTGTTGAGTTTTGTGGTTTGAGATGGTTCACATCTATAGTATTTAGAAGTGATTTACTTCCTCCATAGATTCGATGTCGGCATCTCTTCACACATGATATGCCTCCATCACGCTATTGGACTCCTGCCCATTTATTATTTTGGCCCAATTTCCAATTTGCGAGGCCTAGTTAAAACTGCATCTTAGCCGTGCCTTGCCCAATAAAGTTTGAGAAGGGTTAGGGGGTTTTTGATCCCATGACTTTCCCTTTCGATTTTCACGTGAGTGCCTTTCCCAAGGGAACTTGTCAGCAAACTTTATTTTCTCTATTTTTTGTGAATTAAGCTTTCCAAGTTCAAATAGGACTTTGTTTCCCCTTCCTTCTATCGTCAGCAACTTCTCTTCTTCTCAACTCCAAGACGACGGCTGCGACGGGATTGTTCTTTTGCAAATTCATCGCTCGCTGTGACCTTGTTTGGGATCATTGCTCATTGCAGCTTCCTTCCTTGTCAGGCGGGAGTTGTTTCATGCAAGAACCGAGTTATTTATCGGTGTGATTTCTAATAGGACCTTTGGAGAGCATCAGTTGAATGGCTACTGCATGTGAGAGTACAGACAGCGGGGACGAGTTTCTTTTTTTGTCTTCATCCGCTGCAGGTTCGTGCATGTTTGTGGGAGTAACGAAATGATGGAAACACCATTTTTGCACCATTGCCTTGTTGCCTGTAGAGAACTATCTTTTACGACTTGGTGAACAGAATTTTAAGGTTATTCCTGGTTGCTTTTTACGAGTCAAGGCCTGCACTATTAGGCTACTCGGACGACGACTCGACGATCTTCTTCCTAATAGCCTTTCTATAGAGACCAGGTCTTCAATGGCCTCGTTACGGCAGACAGAACCTTCTAACATCAATGCTACGGCGGCAGTTGGCACGGGTCACTTAGATTTGATTGGAACTTCACAGGGTGGTTTAGACCACCCCGAAGAAATTCATGGGATTGACGACAGCGGCACGGAGCACTTAGATTTGATTGCAACTTCACAGGGTGGTTTAGACCACCCCGAAGAAATTCATGGGATTGACGGGAGCGGCACATACGAACTTGCTAGGCATGAAAGTCACATCATGGCCATTGTTGGTGGCAGAGACTACGGTTTCCTTGCTGCTATCGGCGAAGAAGACGGCAAATGTTCTCCAATGGTGGAGAAGAAGAATGAGCACTCGGTTGCTAGAAGAGTTGACAGCGACAAGGATGGAGAAGACAGCAAATGTCTCCATTGGTGGAGAAGAGGAAGGAGCAAGCCCAATGACAGGTTTTGGTTGTCGGTGTGAATTGGTGGTGCATGTTTCCACCACTATCTTATTTGCTTCTGTCAAACAAGAAGAAAAGGAAACCTCCCTTTGTTTTTTTTTTTGGGGGAAAATACGACAGGAACTTCCTAATAAAAATCAAGAATCCATTATGAAAATGTAATACCTTTTAAGCTTTCTTCTCTCTTTCTTTGGCTTCTTGTTGCTGTTCCTTTTCGCTTTCTTTTGCTGCTTGTCTTTTTTTTTTTTTTTTTTTTTTTGTCGATTTCTTCTCCGTGTGCTTCTCAATTTTTGCAGTGTTGTCTTGTCACTATCCTTTCCTCCGCTCTCCCTGTGCCCTCCCCTTTTTATAGACGCAAGAAACAGTTTCATTAACTTCTTCCATTTTCTGTAATGTGTTCTACTTTCCCGGGGTGTGGGGAAGCTGAGGAAGGCCATCACTTTACTGTGTTCAAAACGTGGGAGCTTAGGAGAGTTCTGGATAGACAAGAACTCTATTTTTTTAGTTTGTGGGCTGTTGAGATTTTTTTCTCTCCTTATATATAAGATATATATAATGTGAATCATATTTCTAGTTGGTCCATGTTTTGGACTACTATTTTTTTTTATAAAGTGTCCCCATCTTTTATAAAGCTTGCTAATATACTTTCTCTATGAAAATATATGGCTCAACATTATAAACATCTCATAAATGTGAAGACGGGCATGAGAAGAGATTGGAAGCTATTGGTCATCTGAGTAAGTATTTCGAGATTTTTAATAATTAAATTCCTTTATAATATGTGGCTCTTTGTTATTGGACTTGTAAGTCTTATATGTGTACTGTATCAGCTCAATAATATAATTATTAACAAAATTTCTAACGGAATAATCAAATTGATGTGTGATAATGAAACTCAGGGATTGAATTGATCATTTTGAAATTCAAAGCCCAAATTAATTGATTAGGTCAATTTAAATGATCATTTGCGACAAAAAGGGTCATTTTTAATTTGATACGATCGTTAGAAACCATTCTTTATTGAACGTATTTATTAAACAATATATCACGAAGTGCTATTTTCCGTTTCTTTATTAAAAGCAGAAACCATGTGATTATAATATGTTCAAAATTAATCAACCATTTCTCATTAAACTATATATAATCATAAATCTTGCATGATCTCCGTTTCATGCCATCCTCTAATTCAAAAGCCAAAAGATCCTCAAATCCTTCCCAACCAACCATTTTTTTTTGGCCAAAGGATATATTTGATTAGATTATATTAAATAAGTTTACATCCTCACAAGAATGTTGAAAAGAAATTCAAATCCTATACAATCCCATATATGATCATCACCAACCTTTGAGACGTAAGCTGTTACTTCATGCGCTGCACGATTGTTCATCCTGCGGATAAAACCAAAATCGATAGAACTGGCAAGGGACCAAATATCATGAATAATTCCTTTTGAACCAACTAATTCACGGAGCCACATATTTGCACCCACATTAAGGATCAAATGTTTGGTGAATAACCATCCATATGGTTCCAAGGGATGTTTATAGTAAGAAGGTAAACACACGTAACATTGTTTACAACGTAAGCAATTACATAGCAAAAATCTTAGGTTGCAAGGTGAATAACACACGTAAAGCACTTCTTCCCATTACCACATTTGTCCTCTCCTCCTATCCAACCGAAAAACGACACGTCCATAACAAAAACTAAGCTTTCCTAAAATACAGAAATCTACAAATTCTACCTAAAAAAAAGGCAAAAAAATATCTCTCTTTCTCTCCGAACTTATATATTAAACACCCACCAAAATCTCCTCAAAAAAGAAAAAGAAAAACCCAATAAAACCAAATGGAGAAATACATAAGTGGAGCCCTCCACAAATCCTCTCCAACCAACTAATTTTACGAGCCATATATTTTGCTCAATATTATTTAAACAAATTAAGGATGAAAAGTTTGGTAGATAACCATCCATATGGTTCCAAGATATTTTTTTCGAACTATGAAAACACACGTAACATTGTTTACATCGTAAGCAATTGCATAGGAAAAACTAGGTTTTCCTAACATACATAAAATCGAATAAGAAAATTGTTGTTAGTATTAAAAAAAAATATCATTTTGCAGTACAAACTTTCTATAATTAAAAAAAAAAATACACAAACAGTGTAAAATAAAAACCAAAAGGAGAAATACATAAGTGGAGCCCTCCATGGTTGGTTTGGTAGGAAGGCCAAACTCATTCCTCAATTACGCAACCCCCATGTTTAAAGTTTTTTTTTTTATAACATCGTATAATTAGTTTGAAACACGCCCAAAACCAAAAATCAGAAACCAAACAAAAAACATAAATGCAGTGGACAAAAGAATTTTCATGGAATCCAAACACTCCTCAAATTTTTGGTAGCATTTCTCCCATTTCCATTTTCTCAGGAAACCCTACATAATAATCAGAAAGTATTTTTTATAACAATTAGCCAGAAAATTAAAAATTAAATAAAACAAATATGAAAAAAAGGGAAGTTAACGCCAAGCGGATGCGACGGTGAGAGTGCGGCTTATCCAACCAAAGCAAACCCCTCCCTTCTCTTCCTTAACCGTGAACCCCGAGTTGGCTCGGTTTCCCGATTCGAGTCGATTTTTCAACGCCTCGGTCATGTTTGGGCCCATGGGCCTCAACTCGAACCCCGCCATCTCCATGCGGGCCCGCCACTTCCCAAACACTTCACATCTTTCCACGCGATCTCTCCCCTCGCAAGCAACCGAGTTCACAAGCTTCCGACTCAGCGCCTCCTCCGCCTTGACTCGCTCCGGGTTCTCCCTCGGAACCGTCGCCTCGATCGACTCCAGCAGCGCCCCGTAGTAGGCGCAGCACTCATTTACGCGCGCCATGAAGGGCGCGGTGTTGGTGTTCATCTCCTGCTCCACCAGCGTCACCACACGCGGCGCCAGCCCCTTCACGCGCCGCAGAAGCTCGTCGCGGGGGTTGTCCGTAGACACGCTCTCGTCCGGCATGCTGTACAGTTTGAAAGCGAAATTCACGGCGATCGGCTCGTCCGGTTCGCAACCCAGCGAGTCCCGGTTCAGCTCGCCGATTTTCGGGCTCACTACGTTGAATTCCAGACGGACCCCGAGTCGCTCGGCGGCTTGACTCAGCTTCCGACGGACTATTCTCAGCCTCCCCTCCCCGCCATTATCCGCGACGGTGGTGATCTTCACGACGGCGGGCCTAACATTCTGACGCGTTGAGAGCGCTTGGAAAAGGAGCATGTACTGACCGCCATGCCCGATGTCGAAGTCAATCACATGAACCTTGTTGGTCGCTGATTGGTCCGTCAAGGTCGCTTCAAGGATTGCGCGGTTAGCGGCCATAAACCCCAGTTTGAAACACGGAGATAACTCGTAAAGCAACTGAATCGACCCGCTATGCTCCTGCCCAAAAAGCTCGTTTGCCGGCGGCGAATTATCAATCGGGTTGACCCGGGACTTCAAAGCTAAACCCAGGAACTCCAGAAGCCTTTGTTCTGAATTGGGTCTCGGATTCGGGACCTGTGTCGCCATCATCCGGGCGAGGATCTCCGCCGCGGCCTCGGATTTCCCTTCAGAAATGGCCGTCGCGGCCTCCATGAGCGACTGCTTGGAACACGTGGAGGACGCCGGAGACGCCACGGATGACGACGAAGATGACGACGAAGTGGGCGACGGAGAAATGGGCTTTTGGCACTGACTCGGAGCTGCCGAACCCATCAGATTCTGTATCGTCTCGGACCACTCGCTGTTGGTTTTAGTAATGACAGAAACGGCGTCGCCTTCGTCGTCCTCGTCGTTATCGTCGAGTAGCTGCTTCTCCAGCTCTTGCAGCGTGTTACTGATCATCTTCTTCTCGGAATCCAAACCCCGGGTCTGAACTGGGTTGTTCTGAACCGGATTGTTAGGCACCAGATTGTTAACATACGACATCGCCGGTGGTGCTGTCTGGTTAATGGGCTGAGGGCGGAGCTGCTGAAGCAGAGGCAACCCGAACCGCTGATGGGATAAAATAGAGGAGGAAGAAGACGAAGAGTCGGAGCCTGTAATTGCTGACCCAGATGAGAAGTCTATCGGAGACAAAGGCGAAATCGGAGAAGAGTGCTGGAAAGTTCTGGGCTTTAGGGAGCGGAGATAGAGATTTTGGCCAGGATTCTGGTGGTAGTTCTGGTGGGGGTTGTAGTGGTTCTGCTGATGGGCCTGGAACTCAGCGAGCGTCCGCTTTCCGATGAGACCGGCTGCTGGGTTTTGGGTTTGGGGTTGAAATTGTGTTTGGCGAGCGATCTGGGACGCGGTAGGGTCCATAAACATGCTGGGGAGCTGGGATCGGTGGTAGGGATTGCTCTGAGACGGGTTGTGGCCGTTCATGGCGGCGGAGATGGAGATGGATCGCCCGTTAGTGTAGAAATCAGGGACGCCGCCGCCTCCTCCGCCGTTGAAGCCTCCCGATTGCATTTTTTCCTCTCTGGGTGTCTGAGAGCGAGGAAGGGAAAAAGGCTAAAAGTGGTGGGTTCTGAAGAAACGCATGGAAGGAGAAGAAGAGACAGTTTCTGTTTCTGTTTCTCTCTCTTATTGTCGCCTTGAATTCATTTGTAATTGCAATCAATTTGATAACTCGGCCAGATTCCAAACTCTAGAGAGAGAAAGTGAGGAGAGAGAGAGAGTGGCTTTTTCCTTCTGGTTTTCGGTTTTCTGGGTGTCTGTTTTTCGTTTTTAAATCCGAAATTCCGAAACGCATCTACGCGAGTACGTACGCCACCGACCGTTGGATTTTTTCTTTTCGGCCTCGATCGGTGACGATGAACGGTGCTTATTACGCGTAGGATACTCTTTCACGCACATCTCATGCTTTCCGTTTGAATTTACAATCATAGGAGCCACACGACACTGAAGGGAGCGTGGATGCACGTACCAATAAGAAGCAGACAAAATATTCAAGCATGAAAGGGAGTTCTAGCGTGCGCTCACATGCTGCCTGGTGAGGTGGGGGTTGTGTGTTTCGTTCCAGTGAATGAGGTTATCTTTATTCGGCTGTGATCGTCTGACATGACAGTTACGAAATATTCCAAAAGGCCCTCGACCGGAGCCCCGAAATGCAATCCAGAACACCACGAAAACGAACCCCCAACCACGTGGGGCGAATGGGATTGAGCTGTGAGGCTCCCTTAAGTGACCGCCTCCGTGACGGGAGAATTCACGCTTTGCCAGTTCGCGGATTCGAAATTCTAGTTGCCGGTTTGTCCTGACGGGCGGTTTCCCGGTTGACTCTCGTTAGGTTTACTGACACGAGGCGGTTGCGGTTGCGTTTAACCTGAGTTTTGTCTACGTCGCCAACCCCCAACCATTGGAATATTTTAGCTCGACATTATTAAAACTTTTAAATTAATGAACACGGAATGATATACTGCTAAACAATTACAGCGACTCCAGCTCACTTTTAAGCTTCAACATAAAGCCACAAAAGGTTATGTAACTGACAAAACTAGTTGACTAAGGGCCGGGATGATCTCAACATTTGAAGTTTTGAGTTCGATTTTTCTTCTCTTATCTCTCGTATCAAAGTGCCTCGATGTGTTAGTTGTACGACTAACATACTACAATGAGATGAATGATAATTTCAAATAGTAATAATCAGTTAAGGTACGTTATTAATATCCATAACTTATTTTAACATCTTAGGATTCGTTTGAAAGTGCTTTTAAAATGATTGAAAGTGCTTTAGAGATAGAGAAAATGTTTTTTAGTCCAAAAACACTTTCACCAAAATCGCTTTCAATCATTTTAAAAACACTTATAAACGAAATAGAAGAGTACATTTTAAAAAAAAAAATTGTTCCAAATCGCTTTAAAATCAAAAGTTTAGTAATTTGGTTGGTGCATTCTAGTTTGTTAAAGAAATGAGGTTTCCTAACCCACCATCATGGATGGTTTGGCCAAGTTTTTATATTTAAAACTTAATGATGTTGAACTGAACCTAAAATATTGTAGTTTATAGATTAGGTAAATGAATATCCAGTGCATGTTGGCCACTGATATTATTCAAATTATGTTCAAATTAAGCGCATGGTAATGTTGTACGTGTAATTAATACATTTTTGGGACTCACTAACAAATAAAGGACAAATAAATCATTTGTCTGATAAGCGGTAAATTTATGGATTATCGTTAAACTATTTTAAGAGCATCTTCAATTAAGAGATGTAAATTTGATATGTAAAACTCAAATTTACATTCATTTTTCACTTTCAAGAGATGTAGAAGAGGGTTTTCCTCGAATGGGATATACGTAAATTGATATCCTATTTTATTTTCTCTTTTTGATTAGCGGGACTAACCACCTAAAGATATAAAAAAATATATTTATATTTAAGTTTTTATTTTTTTATTTTTTTTTGCATTTTCAGACCAAAAAATGCAAAATACACAGTCGTAGACATTTTACATATTTCATTGGAGATGCTCCAACTCTCTAGCCCATTCTCGAATCATAAGGATCGACCATTTTCTATGTAAACATATACGTTAACCACTTCTTTACGAGCCATGGTGTTTAAGTTTACTCTCAAATGCAAGCGAATACGTAGAACATAAAAACTAATGTCAAAATAGTTTCTTATTCGTTTCCATAATGAGTCGTTTTAGATGTTTTTTCCATTTTCTTATGAGGTAATGTACGTCGCTTGTTGAATGAGATATCATTTTACCTAATTGATATAAGAATCAACTCATACTTTATCATTACATGGTCCAAATTTTTCTTGCATAATCCCCTTTGTTTTGGGTAACACAAGCATTGTTCAATTATTTTTATGGGACCCCAAGATGGATAATTTGGGTGGGAAGAAAATTATAAAGTGAGACATGGTAGATTGGTAACTATAAATGTTGTCCTTTCCATTTCTCCTACATCCTGTTTGCAGAGCTTTAACTTGAAATCTACCTTATTAAGAAGAGAGTATGTATGCTACCGAACTGCAAATTTAACTTTTTAATCATAAATTATGCCCTCCAAAAGGATAGATAGCAGTAACGAAGTCACCAGCTGGTCTCTTTTGAAAAGAAAAACTTCTTTAACACGAAGATGGCTACCTTCACTTCATGCTTTGCAGATCCACCTCATTGTCCAAAAATATATACTAACACATTAAAAATAAAAACAAATGAAGTGTTATATTGTCAAAGCCACCACTTTCATGTAACGGTAATGCTCACCATCTTATTTATCACCATTATATAGGTTTAAATGTCGAGATCTATATAGTGTATAGACACAAATCTCAAAACATAAACTCATCGAACAATGATAAATAGGGTGTTGAGCATTATAGCCACTTGAGGGTGGTGAGCAAAGATATTCATGAATAAAGAAATGAAAACAAATAAAAATAGTAATATTTTGTCCATCATATTGTCTACAAATATTTAAAGTGATGTTATATACACATCCCTTTTTATTTTTCACATACTCATTTTAATTTCAGCCATCAGATTAAATAAATTAAAAATGATCAATAATAAAAAAATTAACATAATATATTGAGTAATGTTATTCATATTATGTTTTTGTACCATATTTTCATACCACCTTAGATGGCATTTGATGTGGGCAACCATATCATTTGAAAAATTTACAAAACCTAAGTAAAAGAATAAGAAATAACCCTCGTAGATCACAATAATCATTTAATTAATTAATTTTTCGTAATTATTAATTTATTAAATAATACGTACCGCGAATATTTATGGTAAAACCGACAAAAGTGGATTTTAGTGGATAAAAAAGGAGGGAGATGCTCACCATAAATTTTTTGGTACCCAATTTTATGATGCATCCGTCATAGTGTCAGTGGTTGAAACATACGCAAGGTCTCACTACATAGAGTAAAATCCTACCCATAACTATTTACGTTCTTCCTTTCGCCTATACCAACTTATTTATTTATATAAATGAAAAGAAAAAAAAAATCATATTTAGGAATCGTTTAAAGGTATTTTTAAAATGATTAAACAACTTTTTAGATAAAATATTTTTGGATTCTAAAAGTACTTTATGTGTTTCTTTAATGAAGCGCTTCAAGTACTTTTATAGGATTGTTCTAATAACATTTTCACTAAAAATACTTTCAGTCATTTTAAAAACACTTCTAAATTATCATATATTCTTGACTGATGTCTAAATTATTGAGAGTGACAATCCGAACTTGAATACATAATCAAGGAACAAATTTGCTCCAACAAACTTAGTTAAGCTAATACTCTCTAAACTCATTTATTTTAAAGATTAATCAATTGACAAATATCTTTAATTTCCACCTAATTTTGTGCCAACATGGTTTAAAATACTTCTCCAATTGCCTCACAAAGGATGCTGAAACATTATAAATAAGCCCCACATTTTTTTTCGTTTCTTAAATTTGTTTGACAATAATGCCAAAGTCTTCAATTATTCTCCCACCCAAAAGGAGAATTAAAAATAATAATAAAAAAAAGACGAACCACAACAACATGCTGGTCAGAAAATAATCCCTAACTAAACTTGTTCATTTAGCTTAAATAGGAAGCTAATAAGATTTAAATTTTGAGCATCTTTCCATTAAAAAATAATAATCACACAATTTGATCCGAATTTAATTAATATTTTGTTTGATTCTTGTTTTCGGTTGTTCGTGTTTAATTTAATTTCTTAATTAGAACGGAAAGTATTTGACCACTAATCCCAGTCACCAACTATTTTAAAGTCATTTAAAATTACAAAACTGACCCCCCATTCTTGGAAGAGGCAAGATGTAGGTCAACTATGCTTTCTCAGGGGCCAAATTGCAATTGCAACTGGCCCACTGGGATTGCATTTTTATGGGCAGATAAGTAATTTGGCTACACAGCCACTTAGGCCCATTTTGGTATTATATTTTTACTAAAAATTGTTTTACTTTAAAATTAAACAGTAAAAGTGTATTGGGTAAAAATAAAATATACAACTTATTTTAAAATCAATGACCTCCAGACAACATCTTTTAAAAGCAAGTAGCTTATAGGTTACTTTTAAAAGCTGCTTTAATAAAAAGCGGAGTTGAGCCTTTAAAATATTTTTAATTCCTGTAATAAGCTCATTAGTTTTAAAGAATGACATTATTTATCCTCTTAGACATTTCTTTTTATACACACTTTTAAAAATACATTTTATCATACTCAACTGTTTTATTTTGCAGCTGATTATTCTTAAAGCAAAGCATAAGCAATTTATTAAAAAGTACAACAATCCCAAATTGGCCCTTATTACTACGGGTTAGTGATATTACTCTTCACTTGTAAGTGAGAGGTTTTAAGTTCGATTTCTTGCCAAAAAGCTAATTTGAATCGCATTATTGCTAGTTTATTGTGAGGCTAAGCTACCATCTCTCCCTTAATGTAGATAATATCATTTTGGTAAAAAAAAAAAAAAAAAAAACAATAAT